ACGGATGTCCTCATAAAGTTTTTTGACAAAAAAGTTGTGTATTCCGAGCGCCAGATCCATGGGCTAATACACACAAAAAATTGAGAAATTTACGCGATTCCTAAAAAATGGCTTGTAGATGCGGAAATGGGCGCGAAAAAAAAAATGTGAGTATTCTTGAAGGTTCCCCAACTTAATACAGAGTACCTCATAATGTTTTTTGTGAAAAATAATTTGGCTGCTCCGGGCCCCAGATCCATGGACTAATACACACGAAAAATTGAGGAATTTGCGCGATTCCTAAAACGGGCTTGTAAATAAGGAAAGGGGCGACAAAAAATAGTGTGAGTACACGTGATGATTCTCCAACTCAATATAGAGGTCCTAATAAAGTTTTTTGAGAAAAAAAAATTGGGTGCTCCGAGCGCCAAATCAATGGGCAAAATACACACAAAAAATTGAAGAATTTGCGCGATTTCTAAATTAAGGCTTGTAAATGAGGAAATGGGTGAGAGAAAAAAAGGTGTGAGTATACGTGAAGGTTCCCCAACTCAATACGGAGGTTCTCGTAATGTTTTTTGAGAAAAAAAGTTTGGGTTCTCTGAAAGCCGGATCCATGGGCTAATACAGACGAAAAATTGTGGAATTTGAATGATTCTTAAAAAATGGCTTGTAAATGCGAGGATAGGCGCGAAAAAAATGATTTGAGTATACGTAAAGGTTTCTCAACTCAATACAAATGTCTTCATAAAAAATTTTAAGAAAAAAAGTTTGGGTGCTACGGAGCCAGATCTGAGGGCTAATACACACGAAAAATTGAAGAATTTGCGCGATTTCTAAAAAGGGGCCTATAAATGAGGAAATGGGCGCGACAAAAATGGTGTGAGTATACGTGAAGGTTACCTAACTCAATACAGAGGTCGTCATAAAAAATTTTGAGAATAAAATTTTGGGTGCTCGGGGCGCCAGATCTATGAGTTAATACACACGAAAAATTGAGAAATTTGCGCGATTCCTAAAAAGGGCATTTAAATGCGGAAATGTCCGTGAAAAAAAAGGTATAAGTATACATTAAGGTTTCTCAACTCAATACGGTGGTATTCATAAAGGTTTTTTAGAAAAAAAAGTATGGGTGCTCTTGGGTCCATGGGCAATTACACAAGAAAAATTAAGAAGTTTGTGCGATTCCTAAAAAATGGCTTGTAAATACGAAAATAGGCGTGAAAATTTGGTGTGAGTATGCATGGTGGTTACCCAACTCAATACGGAGGTCCTCATAAAGTTTTTGAGAAAAAAAATTGGGTGCTCCAGGCGCCAAATCCATGGGCTAATATATACACACAAAATTGAGGAATATGCAATTCCTAAAAAAGGGCCAACAAAATGCGTAATGGGCGCGAAAAAAAATTGTGTGAGTATTCGTGAAGGTTCCCCAACTTAATTCAGAGGTTCTCATAAAGATTTTGGTGAAAAAAGAATTTGGGTGCTCCGAGCGCCAGATATATGGGCTAATACATACGAATAATTGAGGAATTTGTGCAATTCCTAAAAAAGGGCATGTACATGTGAAAATGGGCGCAAAAAAATGGTGTGAGTATACGTGAAGGTTCCCCAACTCAATACAGGGGTCCTCATAAAGATTTTTTGAGAAAGAAAATTTTAGGTGCTCCGGGCGCCAGATCAATGGGATAATACACACAAAAAAATTGAGGAATTTATGCGATTTCTAATAAAGGGCCTGCAAATAAGAAAATGGGCACGAAAAAATTGTGTGAGTATACGTGAAAGTTTCCCAACTCAATACGAGGTCCTCATAAAGATTTCTGAGAAAAAAAGTTTGGCTGCTTCGGGAGTCAGATCCATGGGCAAATACACAAGAAAAACTGAGAAATATGCGTGATTCCTAAAATAGGGCTTGTAAATGCAGAAATGGGCGCGAAAAAAATGGTGTAAGTATACGTGAAGGTTCCCAACTCAATGCGGAGGTCGTTATAAAGTTTTTTGAGAAAAATGTTTTCGATACTCCGGTGCTAGATCCATGGGTTAATACACACGAAAAATTGAGAATTTGCTTGATTCCTAGAAAGGGGCCTGTAAATACGAAAATGTGCACGAAAAAATGGTATGAGTATACGTGAAGGTTCCTCAACTCAATACGGAGGTTCTCATAAAGTTTTTTGAGAATAAAAATATGGGTGCTCCGAGCGCCAAATTCATGGGTTAATACACACGAAAGATTGAGATATTTGCATGATTCCTAAAAAAGCAGTAACTGAGGAAATGGGCGTGAAAAAATGGTGTGATTATACATGAAAGTTCCCAATTCAATACGAAGGTCTCATAAAGTTTTTTGAGAAAAAAAATAGGTTCCTCGGGCTCCAGATCCATTGGCTAATACACACGAAAAATTGAGGAATTTGCGCAACTCCTAAAAAATGACCTGCAAATGCGGAAATGGGCTCGAAAAAATGGTGTGAGTATATGGAAGGTTCCCCAACACAATATGGAGGTCCTCATAAAATTTTTTGTGAAAAAAAAATTGGGTGCTCCCGGCGCCAGATCCATAGGCTAATAACACACGAAAAAATTGAGGAATTTGCACGATTCCTTAAAAAGGGCCTGTAGATATGGAAATGGGCGCGAAAAAAATGGTGTGAGTATACGTGAAGGTTCCCCAACTCAATACGGAGATGCTCATAAAAAATTTTGAGAAAATTTCTTTGGGTGCTTCGGGAACCAAATCCATGGGCTAATACACACGAAAAATTGAGAAATTTGCGCGATTCCTAAAAATGGGCCTAAAAATACAGAAATTGGCCAGAAAAGAATGGTGCGAGTATACGTGAAAGTTTCCCAACTCAATTCAGAGGTCCTCAAAAAAAAATTGTGTAAAGAATTTTGGGTGCTCCGGGCGTCAGATATATGGGCTAATACATACGAAAAATTGAGGAATTTGCGCGATTCCTAGAAAAGGACCTGTAAATGCGGATATGGGCGTGAAAAAAATGGTGTGAGTATACGTGAAGGTTCCCTAACTCAATACGGAGGTCCTAATAAAGTTTTTTTAGAAAAAAATACTGGGCGTCCAGGCGTCAGATCCATGGGCTAATACACAAAAAATTAAGGAATTTGCGTGATTCCTAAAAATGGGCCTGTAAATGAGGAAATGGATGCGAAAAAATGGTGTGAGTATACGTGAAGGTTCCCCAACTCAATACGGAGGTCCTCATAAAGATTTTTGAGAAAAGAAATTGGCAACATGAGGGTGATGATGTTAGTTGTGAGATCTGATGTCACGACCCGAGCCTATACCATGAACATGACCGGCACTTGGGAATCATTTATGGTCCCCAAGCGAACCCTCAGCTTCTGTCCTTCGAACTTGCGTTAGATCGGCGATACACTGATTAGAGAAAGTGTAGCACCAACACCTCAAAGTTCATGGTCCTTACCTTGGCAAGTAGGACAACCCTTTTCGGTGTGGGAGACACCGGATTCCACATAACTATTATATTTTCCTAACTATTTTTGTTTCCTATTTCTTTTTATATACATACGATTTTTTATTTGTTTTCATTTGAAATCCTAATGTAAATATTTTATTTATATTACAAATTGAATTTTAAAGTTTGATTCGACGCATATGTTAATCAACATATTGACATAATATTTTACATAATATAAAATTGGATATTATAAATTTATAATGTACTTGAAAATTGGAAGCAGCAACAGTTGCCCGTTGTTAAATAAAGCTTCGGTGACACAAAAAATAGCATTATCGATGCGAGGAAATTTAAAATATCAAGTTGATCAAAGAAACAGTTATTACAATATGTTAATGGTATTTTATTTTTTATAAGCTATAAACATAAAAATAAAATAGCCAAAAAAAAAAGATTGCCCACTTAAGTATAGAAGAAGAATTCATTTTTCTTTTATCTTTTATTCAAAAAGAGGGAGAATTTATATTAACTTGCAACAAATTCAATATTCAATATTCAATAGTTAATAATTCATGTAGTGTAATCTCTTCATAACTAAATAATACCTACATAACTTATACCTGCATAACTAAACCCAACATAACTAAACCATGCATAACAAAACCTGCATAACTTATACCTAGATAACTATAACCAATAACCAAACGGCCCTTACGGTTTAACATTAAAAAAATGAAGTTTTGGGCTAAAAACATCCCTTATTAATAGGTAGGTTATATCCGTGTGATATAATAATGAACAAAAAACCTCCTTATGAAGTTGCTAATAAGGGGTGTTTTTTTTTGTTCATTATTATATCACAGGAATATAATTTAGGTTTAGCCTATACATAAGGGAGATTTTTAGCCCAAAACTCAAAAAATTGCTTGGATCTTCCAAATTGTTCCAAAAGCTATGCATTTCAGATAGTTTTTGGAGGATCTGATATGGTGCCATTCCATTTTCAGAGGATCCAAGCAAACAATGTCGATGATATGTGCCGGATCCTCCAAAAGCTATGGACTTCTTATTGCTTTTGGAGGATCTAATATGGCGCTATGCCATTTTTAGAGGATCCGAGCAACATACGTCACTAGAGGAGTCACCAGCTATATTGCTTGGATCCTCCAAAAATGTTTATAGTGTCTCATGAGCAACATACACTATAGGAGTCACCAGCTCGGATCCTCCAAAAATGTTTACGGTGTCTCGGATTCGAGCAACATAGATCACCTGATGTAAGAACAACATATGCATACAGGAAGGAGTCATTTAGTACATGGGATAACAACAAGGATAATAATCCTAAAATAAATTTTAGGATCAACTTTATCCCATGTTTGGTTTGAGATATTAGCTAATCCCAGAATTATTTTATCCCACCGTTTGAACTAAAAACGATGGGATTACAAATCGCATGGGATATCCTTGCTCATCTCATTCGGCATACCAAACGACCCCGAAGGGTATAGACAACCAGATCATAAACAATCAATCTCAGAAAGATAATAAGAAGCAGAACATAGAAGTACCTAAAAAGCTCTTATTTAGTCAGCTTGAATTAAACTTCTACAAATTCAACTACAACATTACCCTAAAATGTTATCTACACTGAAGGAAAATGTTCAATGACAACTTATAAAGTACTATAAATTGAGAGATAACATGATTAGAACCCTGTTCTTTATCATGCCTTCCAGGTCTTTGACAACATTTAGTGATACATCTGAACCATCGGTTCGGTTTTCACTTTTTCTGCAGCAAGGTGGCTACTTGACTACATCTGCAGCTCTAGAACTGGTCGATGAAGCCGTTTGAAGAGGGACCTTGTATTTGAGGCCCTGGAAGAAATGATTAGCCAGAAGTTAGTATATAGTAATTTTGAATATGAAGAAATAGTTGACGAAAGACATACAACAACTACAACAAACCCAGTGTAGTCCCAAAAGACAATCTGCAATGCAACAACAACATATCCAGTGTAGAGTGTATGCAGAAAATCAAAGTAGTTATGAAGAAGGAAATACGTAGTGAAGAAAACATGTCATTAGTAATGAAAGCAGTAGAGCCCATTCAGAAAAAAGAACTAGGTAGTTTGGAGAATTTGAACTAGGTACCCATACTTATTCTACATCCATTTGACGTTGTACGTCAGGGCAAATGAAGGATCCGATGTTACATAGTAACACACAGCTCCGAGCCTCTTGGTCATTGAAACACAATCTTCCATAATGTCCAACTGGGACTCTCTCAATCCAACATGTCAATACTTTCTCTGAACTACGAACACACTTACATGCTGCCGTTATATTCTTAATTGCCTAATTTAGAGTCTACAGATGCCAAACATATGCCTTCATAGTCTAGCATTTGCAAAGTTGAGGAAGAAAGAAAGACATAACAGAAGGATCCACAATCAGTTGGAGCTTTAGGATCCTTTTAATTGGGATATACAATTAACTCGTGCTATAGCACCTTAAATATCATAAACTTGATTTTGCCTTGGAACTTCTCGAATAGACAACGGGGGCTTATGAAAAAATGTTCCATACTTTAATACTATAAACTTTGCCAAATGAGATATCATTCGGTTAAGCCAGGAACACTTTAGCCTCGAGAAAAACACTTCCTAAGGTGACTTGCAAGATGTGAAGTTTCAGCCTTCAAAAGATAGAGATCTCGTAGGCCAAGTTGCTTAGACTCTTCAAAAGTACTTCCCGGTGTGTGTCAGATCCTCCAAAAACTATGCACTTTTTGAGGATCCGATACGGGTGCAGCAACAATTTTGGAGGGTCAAAGCAACTAATGAAATAGAAATTGACTTTAAACCAACAAAAATGCACTTAGCTATCATACTAATCTTAAAATCAACAACTTCATCAAACATCCTTAAAGATTGAGTACATATCCGTAACACACACGTCCTTTCTTGGACATGCATGCTGTTATAAACAGTTTATGATTTCAGTCAAGCAAAGATATTCTTATGTTCAACCTCACGACTAGAAGAAGTAAAAATCCAACAGAAAAGAATAGTACCTTTGTCACAAATCTTTTCAGGCAAAGGCTGAAAGGTCCGGCGGTGCATCAATCCAAATGCTCTCGAAAGGATCTTGTTCTCCCCAATCGTAACACTGCTTTCGCGGGTAGTATCTGTTTTTATCGAGGGAATAGGATATGCAACGCCTTCCATAAAAACGAACCTTAGAGAAATAAATACTATTTCTCATCACACCAAGAATGTCTGTCCTTGCTTGGGATGAAAGGAAACTAGCAAAAAGAGTCAAACCACCTAAAGTTTGCATCTCCACCCAAATTTTATTTATTTGGTCCAATTTATATACCACCGGATTTGCAGTAGAGCAAGTGTATATCACATAGATATCTCCATTGTGCTCTGCCATGAATTTTCCTTTCCACCAATTTTTGACGAAAAAGTTCTCGGGGCATCTCGGAGGTGGAACCACACGAACAAGCCAAGTATGTTCTTCTGGATCATAGACTCCCAACCAGCCAGTAAGACTCAGACAATAAAAGAGACCATTGCAGAAAACTAACTTATTCCAAATGCTGCTAACAAATGGCAAACGGTTTTGGTAATTGGCAGTTGTCCATTCAGTTGCCCCTGGTTTACATGTGCTAATTGCAACCAAAGTGGGGCTGACATGCTTAACTGTGAAAACAATACAGTCGGGGGATGTTGGAGCTGCCGAAAAAGCAACTATCTGGTATGTTAATTCTAGTCCTGGCAAATTGATCACGTCCTTCGTATAAGGATTGAAGAAGAACACACGCAAACTTCTGGGCTTGTATAGCAGCAACCAGCCATCCTTCGCATAGCAAAGCCTCGAGCCACGTAACTCTGGTAACTCAACAGAATAAGTTTGCCTCACTGAAGGGTCATAGAATTCAACCAAGTCACCGAATTTCGGGAAAAACATAAGCCAAGGTGGTTTATTCGCAACTCTTACAGAAATGGCAGCAGCAAGCCATTGCTTGCAAACAGCAGAAGCAAGGATATTTTCCTTCAAGTTTAACCGGCAGAGAATCTGTTCTAGGATATCAACCGGCACACGAAACAATGAGTTTTGCTCATCAGATTCTTCACGCTCCTCACTTGAAGCAGCACCATTATTTGGAGCTGTCGCAGCTAATCTAGAAATATAAAAGTCATCTTTAGTTTCAAAATGGATAGTGAAATAAAAAAGTAAAAACAGATACCGAACCCTTAAAGTTAACGTTATCCACAAAATATAAAGTACACATTACCTCCACTTCCACTCTCGCCCCAACAACAACAACGTACCTAGCGTGACCCCACTTGTAATCCCACAAGTGGGATCTAGGGAGGGTAAAGTGTATGTAGACCTTACCCCTACCTTGGAAGGCAAAGAGGCTGTTTCCAATAGAAACTCGGCTCAAGGAAAGCATATCAAAACAGATTGAAAAAGAAATAACGGAAGTGAAGAAATTATGGAAAATACTATAGAAAGTATGACGAAGTACTCTGAAAAAAAGAAACAATAACTACAAAAAGAAGAAGAGGGAAACAAAAACAGAATCCAAATGTGTCACCACGTGTAAACACACCAGATGAGGCATTTCCCTTAAGAGCCTTAGCAATAACTAATATACATGATTATAAAGATAGTTACAGTTGGCTTTCCACATTAAATCCAAAACATTCTGCTTTAAGCGTAACTCCTCACACGCAAATGACGACATGAAAGACGACAAATCCTAAATCAGATACGTATCGGTGAACTTTAGCATCAAAGACCAAAACATTCTACTTTTCGCTTTTGAGTAACTTCTCACACGCAACGGACAACATCAAAGACGACAAAGACATACCCTTAATCAGGTTACACGAGACTTCCAGCATTAAAATCCAAAGCATTCAGCTTTTTTTCTCGCACACAAAGGACAACATCAAAGGCGACACCGTTACTGGTGGCTTTAAGCACCGAATCCAAAAAATACTGCTTTTAAGTAACTTCTCACACGCAACAGACAACATCAAAGACGACAAAGACATATATCCTTAATCAGTTTACACATGACTTCCAGCATTAAAATCCAAAACATTCTTCTTCTTTTTTCTCACACGCAAAGGACAACATCAAAGACGACAAAAACATATCCTCAATCAGGAAATTACAGGTGACTTTGAGCATTAAAATCAAAACATTCTGCTTTTTTTTCTCCCGCGCAAAGGGAAACCTCAAAGACGACAAGGAGATATCCTCAATCAGGTAATTACAGGTGACTTTCAGCATTTAAATAAGAACATTTCTACTTTTTTTTTCTCCCGCGCAAAGGGCAACATCAAAGACGACAAAATCCTAAACTAGTTACAGATAGCTTTCATCATTGACACCGAAAAATACTGCTTTTAGAGTAACTTCTAACACACAAAGGACAACATCAAAGCCGACATATCCTAAATCATCCAACAAACTGAACATACACTAAGCTGATTAACTGTCAGAACAACACCGAAACACTTGACTATCTGTATAAACAGTTATGTTCCCACTAGGAAAACAGAACCGTTATAAACTGTTTCGATCAGAGTAAGAATAACTCTTAAGACCAACAAATCATCACACAAGTACCCAACAGCAACATTTATTCAGCTATACAAGTCATCAATCATCATCATCAACATCACATATGCCCATTCCCTAACATTAAAAAAGTCACAGATATCTTATGCAAAAAGTGACATGAATTTGGAACATTTTTAGTACAACAGATTGAATTGAAGTATAAAATGGTTAACAAATAGACATCCTTAAATTCCCAGATAAACAGATCAAGTGATAAATTCATAAAACCCCTAATTTGGGCAACCACCAAAATTGTCAAAATTCACCTCAAACACAACAAAACTAAAAAAAAACACCACATAAATTAAATCCACTCATTCCATTTCAACTCAATTTCTCTTCCACCTCTTGTAAAACTTTGGGGGTGGGGTTTGGGAGGTGGGGTTTGGGGGGTGGGGGGGTTTGGGAATTCTTTAAAACTCAATCACTTGTAAAAAGACTACACCTTTCAACTCAAACAGTGAAATCAAAGCTGGATCCACACAACAAAAAACATCAAACATAAACAAAATCAAAAACCCATATAGAATTCATTAAAATTCAAGTCTTTACACTCAAATTAAGCTCAAAACACCCAAAAAAAACTGAAAAAAACATGAAAACACACATAAAGATTCATAAAGTTTCAATCTTTGAAGGACTTACGACTTCATTTTTCTTCTTTTTCTTCCAGCCATGGCTGCAAGAACTCAGCTTTGGGCGTTTCTATCTAAGTTAAAGCCAAAGCAGTATATGTTTTTTTTTCCAGTGTGCGAAGACAGAAAGGAGAAAAATAAGGCAAAAGAGGATTTATATATAAAGTTAGAGAAAATGGCAACTGGCAACTGGCAAAGACTGTTGTCAACTGATATCAGTACGTGAGAGTTACCACCACACGTGTAGTTTCAAAGGGTATCTTCTTTTCTTTTCTTTTTATCGAAAAATTCATGGTCGGACCTCATCATCTCGACTTTCATAAGAACTACAAGACGTTATTGACAGCCGAGCATCAAAGACGGACCATAGTACCTTGTTTGATGTAATTTAGAAGAGAATTCAACTGTTGTGGTTTATGAGTTTCGGAAAATGAACTTAAGTTAACGTAAAATGAGAAATGAATTCAAAATCAACTATTTATAGATATTGCGGAGATACAAATCCAATGTATGAACAAAAGGATGTCTTTTCTTATTTATTTTGTAATAGTTTACGTTCAAAACTCGAACAACGTAAAAAATATCTACACAGTCAAATTTGTAATTAAGTAATTATAAGTATATCTCTGAAAAAGAAACTGACTTCATCATCTCGACTCCCGTGAGAACTACAAGACGAATGTTACAGCTGAGCATCAAAGACCGATCATAGTACCTTGTTTGATGTAATTTAGAAGAGAGTTCAATTGTTGAGGTTTATGAATTCATGAAATGAACTTAAGTTAACGTTAAAATGATAAATGAATTCAAAATCGATTATTTATAGATATTTCGGGGATACAAATTCATTAATCCAATGTATGAACAAAAAGGTGTTTTTTTAAATAAAAAAAGTTAGTTCAAAACACAAATATCGTGAAAAAAATATTTATACAATCACATTAGTTATTAAGTACTACTTAGTAAATCTTTCAAAAAGGCTGACTTCATCATCTCGATCTCGTAGAATTATGAGATCACCTTGGGGTCGCCTTTCATACTCGAGTATCCAAGACCGATCATATAACCTTATTTATAGTTTTAATTTCAAGTTATCGTAAAATAATAATTGAATTTCCAATCAACTATTTAGTAACTAGGTCTGAATAATATTTATTACTAATAAATTTCATTAAACTGTGAAATTTTATTCTCCTGAAAATACGATAAGTTATCTTAATAAACATAAGTTGATACTCCCTCCGTCCCATTTTATGTGGCAACATTTCCTTTTTGGTCAGTCCCAAAAAGAATGTCACATTTCCTTATAAGGAAAGTATTTAAAGGTACAATTCCTTTTTTATCCTTGTTGGTCCCACTTAATCTTAAAATAATACTCCAATACATTTATGACGAGAGAGAAATTGAGTCTACTTTTTAAAAGGGCAATTTGGTAAACATTTCAAAGTCTTCATTTATTTCTTAAATTCCGTGCCCGGTCAAATGTTGCCACATAAAATGGGACGGAGGGAGTAATATAAAAGACAATTACAATTTACTGTTTTTTTACGCTATCAACATAAATTATTATTATTATTATTATTATTATTATTATTATTATTATTATTATTGTGTTTAGAATGATTTGGACACTGAGCTAATTAGGATATTGTCACATAGGATTATTGTACTTTGTCATAATTAATAATTATGTTGTCTCTGATTATTCGCTAATTAGATTCAGAGAACATGACCACCTTTTTTAGAAAATTCTTAAATGGAATCTAAAATGGATTAATTACAAGTTTTCTAAAAATGGATTATTACATTACTGATTAAAATAAATAAAAAAAAAAAAAATTTAAAAAAAGTAGTGGTTGGTACATTACAGGATAATCACTGTACAATCACATTAGTTATTAATTACAATATTTTTTTACCTTAAATTCATTTTAATTACTTGGGATTTTAAAATTAGTCATTGATTTTATAATCACTCCTAATCAACTTAGTTAAACCTAACAAGTGGTTGGTACATTACAGGATAAAATTTTGAAAATGGATTTAGTGTACTTACAAAAAAACTTTCCCAAAATGGAATATTTACTATTATCTAATATTTGGTACATTGTTGATTTGAAATAGTAGTATTAAATAGTTTGATTTTTTTTATAAAAAAAAATAGTACTCTAATACTCTTTATAATTAAATTAATAAAATTAGTTGGCTTTTTCAGAAAATTAATTTATGACTCTCTTTGTTAGGAAATTCTCAAATTGGAAACTAAATTATTGGATTTTGTGTACTTACAAGTTTGCCAACAAAGGATTGTTAATGCTATCTAATGTTTGCTGTTTTTTGGATAAAATTTCGATATTTTAATATTAAATGGTTTGAGTTTAAACTAATAGGACTCATTTAACTTTAAATAAATTGTACTTGTTGGATTTTATATAATTTCCTCTACGGCTTTAAAAATATTTATATTTATCCTTCGTTGTACTTTTTAAAATGAATTAACTCTCATTGTTAGCCTAATGTTTAAATATGAGTTTTGTCCTAAAGGAGCCAAATGTACATGCAAAATATAGAGGTAAAATTGGTCCTTTTTCAAGTATAAAGACACATCTTCTCTTTAGTATAATTTTCTTTATCTTTCTGTCTTCAAATTTGGTAGGTCCATCTGAAATAATCTGATAATCTATACTTATTATTTCGTCGTGACTGACATTATTATTTGATATTTCAGAATCACAAACAAGAATTTATGATTTTTCAAAGTATTTGGTGTGTGTTAGTTTATTGATTATTTGAAATTTGTTTAATCGACTCTATTGGGCTCCAAACTTGGTGAGTCAATCTAATACACATTGTAACCAATACTCATTGCTTCGTCGAGACTAACATCATCATTTTTGTCCTTTTGGGATCACGAAACATGAATTCAAAATTTTCAGTGTATTATAATCCATTGATTTTTAGAAAATTGTTTGACTGACTCTGTCGGATCTTATATTTAGTGATTTTATCTGAAACAACCTGGTGGCCAATATTCATTACTTCTCCTGTTGAAATACCTATAGTGAGCTAACATCATATGTAAGACTTGCCTCCAAGAAAAAACACTATCATGCTTTAAAAAAATCAGGAGAAGTACAATCTTGTAGAACTAATTCTTATAAAAGTTTTTCTTTTTGTTTCTCACACACATTCGATATTCGCATTAAGATCTGACTAAATTTGAAATTGCACCAGAAAATCTCATATATAGGGAATAGCCTTTCCTAACAAAGCTAAGGCAACAAAGTGCTTACCAGAGTTCTAACTTAAGAATGAAAAAGCATTTATCACTCTATCCAGTTCTTAAAGTGTTATTTGGCTTGTTGGTACTGAAACCCTAACCACTTTACTAAAAAGAAACAAAACAAAACTAAACATGACTAGTTTGATGTAACTACTAAAAATAGTGAGACCAAAAACTTGAGAAAAGAGGCCCACAATTAAGGGCCTAGGCCCTAAAATACATCAATGGGCTGAACTTGATGTAGCCCATATTACATCAAAATGTAAAGGGATCCATTTGACTATTTCTTTCTCAATAAAGCCCATTAAGGGATTTCATCATTTAATACAATAATATTAGTGTGGTCACTATCCACTACTTGTCAGTGACTATGAGAGTTTTTCCTTTTTATTAAACTCCAAGAATCTTTGGTACCAATTTATGTCAAATAGAATTTAAAAGAAATCCAATAATACTGGTGATTTGGTTTGTAGCAATTCAAGTATATTCAAAACTTATAGTTTACGATATCCTTGGTGATGATATTTTCATCATTTCAATTTATGTGGAATAATTTGAATAAGAAAGAAATAACGATTTTTTTTGAAGTGCCAAGAGATATATGTGACTATGAGAAACATGTATTATTGGTTCTTGAGCAGAACCATTTGATAGCTTTCTACCTAGATAAATGTCATTAGACAGAATGAAATAAAGAATGAGATAGTCTATATCTTGTACTGATTATAAGATCACTCTATAAATAAGTCAATTCTATGTGACTTTCTGTCATTCAAGATACCTCATACTTCTCGTAAGAATGGATCTGCTTTAGGTTGTATAAATAAAAATAGAAATCGAATCCACAATTATTACATTGAATTGTTGGTATTTTTATGTGAGGGGGTGGGGGGTGGGGGCGGAGTTCTATTTGAAAGTTACTAGACCAAGCCACTAGATCACTTGGCCCAACCATTCCCCCTACCAACCAAGGAGTTGTCACTATCTAGCCAAGACAAACAAAGTTTTTTTTTGTGTGCTAAAAAAGCAAAAAAGTCAGCAGCATGCTTGACATCTTAAATTCCTTAAAACAACAAACATCAATCTGCATATTGAAAAAGACTAATTTGATTGTTGGGAGTCATGTTTCATTGACTACATTCACAAACATGACCAATGCCACAACATTCTTTTATAAAGGCTAGGTCAGCTTATGTTCAGTTCGACTAATTTCATAAACTACATGTTACCTCACATCAACACATATACTGAATAACTCTGTCCACTAAGATTTGGACAATTAACAATGTTGTGTAGATCCCTCATTTGACTAAACATACTCGTGTTCAAAGATAGTAACAAAAGTGTAAACACTTCGTGTAAATTGGTCAAAATACATGATTCTATCGAGTACTTCCTAGTAATCGTTTCATAAACGAGTCCAAGCAACATAGCATATATTCATTGCCATTTCAAATTACAAAACTTTCAAATCAAACAGACAATGTTATGCAACAAACATAGTTCAATGATTACAAATCCAAAATAAGCAAAATAAACAAACATAAAATGGTTAACTTACATAGTTAACAACAAATTGGACATTGAATCAAACCATTCTCATTGCACTCTCCACATTTCACAGTACTCTTTCCATCCTTAGCCAACAATTTTCTACTCCCATTGCAGTCCATACACATCACAAACCGGATCCCCGCGCAGCCATCACACGTGGCAGCTGCCCTCGGGATCCCGTCTAGTAAAATTCCCAATTTACCCTCCTCTTCCAACTTCAACATTTCATCAGCTCCACCAATCAACCTCCCTTTTACAAACACTAAAGGGACTTTCACCTCTTTTGTCCCCATTAGTCCTCTTAGTTCTTCCTTATACCCCGAATCCATCGATATATCACGCTCAATCACACGAGTATCATTCGATTCGAGTATAGCTCTAGCAGTGTTACAATCCTCAAATGTCTTTCTAATACCCCTCAATGTAGTTGTATAGATTACAACTGCATTTTCACCTTCTGGTGGGCATTTTTTCTCGAATAACTCAAGCATTGTCTCTGCTTCTTGCGAATTCCTAGCTTTTCTAGAAATTGGCGTAGCAAACACCATTTTCTTGATCTGTTCTTCTTCTTCAGACATCTCTTTCTCGAAAGCTTCCACGAGCTGTGGATCAAACAACGGACTTAAACTCCTCCTCCTCCTCGAAACCACAACAGAATCAACCTTCAAATTATCACATTTCACCTCATTTGGACTCCCCTTCTTCGAAAAATTCAATCTTGGTGACATTTTCCATGGACTCTGCATCAATTTACTCTCTTTCAACACATTTTTTGGGCTAAAATCAACCAAATTAGCTTCATTACCTCCATTACCCCTTCCTTTATTCTCCTTTCCACTCAATTTCTTGAATTTACGCGGAGAGCTCATCTGATTCAAAAACTTCAACGGGCTACGAGCATCAATATCGACAAATCCACGAAGAAAAACCCGAGATTTTGGGCTAATCTTGGAATTTTGTACAACAACTTCTTCATCAAGACCTTCCATTAGCTCCCAAGCATTAATAACTTCATGAGATTTTTCATGGGGTGGTGATTTCTTGATTTCTTTCACACATTCCTTAATAGATAAAGGTGGGTTTCGCGTAAAGTTTGAATCTTTTTCAAGATTCAACACACCATAAGTACTTGAAGTTAAAGAAACAACATGGTCAGGGTAATCATCACCATTTTTTTCTCAATTTTTTTTTCTTGAAGAGTTTGGACGGCACACAACCCATTGATTTGGGGGTGGTGGGGTGTGGGGTGGATTTTTTCAGACAAGAATTTGCATTTGGTTTTTGTTAGGTTTTTGAAGAAGATGAAAGTGGGAAAGTTTCAGTTTAAGGAAAATAATAATAAAAACATCAACGGTTATGACTGTCCTCATAACGGGCCCAAACGGTCGAAAATTTCGAATGAAACATGTTGGGGTAAATTTTTTTAACAAGTCCTTCATTTTTGCCTATATTCATTAAAAAACACCACTTTCATATTTCTCAAAAAAAAAAGAAGCGTAAATATGTTATTGAACTATCAAAAATATGATTATGTTACCGTTAATAATCGGGGGATGAAAACGTCATTATCGTGATTCGTGAGTCGTGACATGTTTTTATGAGATTGGTATGATTTTTAAAAACACCACTTTCATATTTCTCTAAAAAAAACGCATAAATATGTTATTAAACTATTAGAAATATGACTATGTACCCGTTAATGATCGGGGGATGAAAATGTTATTGTAGTGAATCGTGACATATTTTTATGAGATTTGAATGATTTGAATTAGTAAAAGAATTAAACTTGATCTGGATTTGACGATGTTGATGCTCGTAGCCCGTTGAAATTCTTGAATCAGATGAGCTCATCGCGGAAAATTCAAGAAATTGGATGGGAAGGAGAATAAAGGAGGAAGGGTTAATGGAGGTAATGAAGCTAATTTGTCGGTGAAATGGATGAAATCATTAGATTTTCGTTTGGATCGAGATAATGACATAGTAGTTAGAAGTGAGTGGCAATAGAGAGTTACATGTTCGGCAACCAGTATTATTTGAGTATTTACAGTGAACTGGTAGAAGTGGCGTATGCCACTTCTCCAGTTCTATGGCAACCATATAGTTTTTTTGTGTGTTGTGTTGCTAATCACTAACAACACTGCATCCGGTTTAATAAGCCAATTTCTTTTATATATATGCCACGTGTCGTTCGATTAAATCACCCACGTCGCTTAATTAATCTGATTCGTCTATTTTAACGAGTTGAACTATCAAAAATGGTATGTTCATGACACTCGTTAATATAGTTAGGCATAAAAATGTCACCGTCGTGACACATTTGTCCCTCATCCGACTAATCACTAGCAACCTACATATTCGATTTTTAAAGCTAAATTTTTTATCTTAAATATCATATCACGTGTCATTCAATCAAACGACCTACATCACCTAACATATTCCATGTATTTTAATACATTCCATTTTATTTGTCACACACAATATGTTGATCATGAAAAATTAAATTTTAATTTTATTTATTAAAATTAAACGTTTATTACTATATTAAAAATTATATTTATTAGCAAGGATATAACTTTATTTTATAACCAAATCCATCCCAACAAACATGGAATATCTTCATAAATTCTCCTTTCCCTTTTTAATTATTGTCCTTTTGAAGGCCAACTAAATAAAACCTAGTGAAGTTAATAATTTACATATTTATTACATAATTCTTTTAAATTATTATATTTATTTATTCTTTTGAAAATGCACCCTCTTTGGAAAAAAATTAGTTATTTATAGCCTATACTTTATAGGGGACTTTAGTAGTAAATGAGATTTGCCTTGACATTATAAATGTCAACATTCTTCGAAGCATAGGGACAAGTAGATTAATGCTTATGAGAAGAGACAAAAAAGTTGTCAATTATCAAGAATGTTGGTAGTTAAAAATTGTCATTTATAATTAACACAACTACACTCCCAAAAAATAATGGACCTTCATATGGATATCATATTTCAAATCTTGTTAAAAATTAGTGGAGTCAAATGGACGAGATGAACAAATTGAATTAAATTTGAACAGATCAAAATTGATATATGGATAGGTTATTAACTCGTTCGTCAAAGGTTATTTAGATTAAGATTAGCTAAGTAATGGGTCAAAGGTCAACCCTCCCGATTTATACCGATTCTTAGCTAGTGTTTGACCATAGATTTTGGATTAGATTTTGAAATTTTATTTTTAGTTAACTCGTTCAAAGGTTATTTGGGTTGAGATGAGCTAAGTAATGGGTCATAGGTCAACACTACCAACTCTTACAAACTCTTAGCTCGCGTTTGACCATAGATTTTAGATCAGATTTTGAAAATTTATTTTTAATTAATCGTTTAAACTTTAAAGGTTACTTGGGTTGAGATGAGCTAAGTACTCCCAACTCTTATCTAGTGTTTGACTATAGATTTTGGAAATTTATCTTCAATTAATTCGCTTGAAGGTTACTTGGGTCGAGATTTGCTAAGTAATGGGTCAAAGGTCAACACTCCCAACTTTTTTGAACTCTTATCTAGCGTTTGATCATAGATTTTGGATCAAATTTTAAAAATTTATATTCAAAATATTTGTTTGACCATGAAATTTGATCAGATTTTAAAATTTTGATCTTTAATATTTTCAAGTTCTAAAAAATTGGCTTAGATAAATTTTTTAAAAAAAATTAGGACTTCCACTCACAATTTTTTTTTTTTTTAAATAAAGTAAAATAAAATAAATGTCCAAACAAAACTTTAAAAATTAAAATTTTCAAGTTTTAAGTGTCTGCTTCAAAATCTATGTCCCGACGGATGCTATTTTATTTTTGGTTTTCTTATAATTTATTTGATTATCTCATAAAACACTTTTTTTCTTTGTTGTGATAATATATAGCATATCAAATTTAAAAAATTTAAAAAAATTAAAATATAATAAAAGACTTGAACAAAAGTGAATTTGGGCCAAAGCAGGAAGAAGCTATCCTGGGCCATTTCGAATGGACCGAGCCCAGTCCAACAAGTTAGCTATCATGGCCTTCAAACAATAGGCCCACCTTTTGTTTGTTCCAAGTGAAAATGAAGCATTTTTATCCGTAATAATTTAGCTAGCATTTGGTCATAGATTTTTTTATTAGATTTTGAAAATTTATCTTCAAATATTTGTTTGATTATGAAATTTGACAAAATATTAAAAATCTATCTTCAAATATATGTTTGATCATGAAATTTGACTAGATTTTGAAAATTTATCTTCAAACATTTGTTTGACAATTAAATTTGATAAGGTTTTGAAAATCTATCTTCAAATATTTATTTGACCATTGTTTTTAACCAATTTTTTGAAAAAACGATCTTCAAATATCTGTTGACCATGAAATTTGACCTGATTTTGAAAAAAAGCTATCTTTAAATATATATTGTCTAGATTTGAAATTTTGATCTTCAAATATATGTTTGACCATGAAATTTGACCAATTTTTGCAAAATCGATCATCAAATATCTGTTGACCATGAAATTTCGACCAAGATTTTAAAAAAATCTATCTCTAAATATCTTTTTGACTATGATATTTGACTAGATTTTAAAATTTAATCATATTTTAAAATTTTGATCTTCAAATATTTTCAATTTCCTAGCATGTTTTTGGGACTTCCGCTCACAAATAATTCAATTATTTTTCAAGTAGTATATTCAAACACAACCACAAATTTTATATTTTCAAATTTCAAAATATAATTTTAAAATCTATAATCAAATAGGATCTTAAATAAAAGTCTAAGATATGTGGAAAACCTAATTGATCACATTAAAATAAAGTAAAATTTACTTGTAATAATTTATGATTTGACACATAGAAAAGTGTAATAATTTGGCGTGTTTGAAATAATATAAGTTGTTATTAGTTTATCGTAACAAATTAAGCCTTTTGTTATACAATATAATATAATGGTTAACTTAAATTGACTTGTGCATGACTATGGTAACATGATTTAAATCTCTCCAATATTAATCAGAAATTTCGAACTTTAACCCCGTTTTCAACACGAATATCGAACACGAATTCATAAATCAAACACTTGTTTCTTTTTCCCAATAAAGCACTGTCCACACTTCCACCAAACGTGTATAAGCAAATAGTAGCAAAATCAGAACTTTATTCTAAAAAGTAATGCTTTATCGATTTCGTTTTATGCAATATATTACTTTTAAGAGAATAATATATTTGATTTATATAATAAATATTTTAATTCTGAACCTTTCATCTTCTTCTTTTTTAAAGAAGTTTTACCGTCACACATATTTTATAGCACATTTAAAATACAAATATAAAATTAATCTTGTAGTCGGGTTTCAAGAATTTTCTTAAGAAATTAAACGACAAGTCAAATTCTATTACATAAAAATATAAACTGAAGATGTAGTTCATTTTTACTATCAATCGATGTGGTGGAACAAATGAGATCCTAACTCCAATTCCCTCTTTGGAAGTAAAGAAGTTTTGATAAAAAAGTGTTTCTCTTAAATTTATCATACACAACGCGAATCTAAATTAGTCGGACGAGCAGATATATATTTCTTTTCAAAGTAAGCATGTTCTTGGAATTTGGGGTTATATCAACTTTGTGTGGCGGCTTTACTACATGATATATGAATAAATAGTGACAACAAAGAAGTCCAAGGTGGTGTGCACATTTTTTTGTTTATTACCTTTTTCCTTATGATGTTTAGTGTTTATATTTAAATCCAATTAATTTGAATTTACGTATTTCAGGGCTTATTTTGGAGGGCAATGCAATTAGCATGATTTTATTTCATATTCAGAATTTGAACACAATTTTTTTAATTAAAGATGAAAGAATCTCAATCATCCCATCATAATTCAGGCCGATTAGTTATTTCTATCTACCTTTCACCTTTGCTTCTTTGAGTAGTACTCATATTATTTTTGTTTCTTTTTTACATTGGTGTGTTGGACTAGTTTGAGTTAAGTCAATTATCTTGTTATACTTTTTTAAAGTTTTGCATTTGATATTTGTATTGAGATAGCTTGATTGATTTGAATTTGTACCACAAAAAGCCATAAAGGAGAAGTACTTCTTATTAACATTGTTTCATGCGTAAGGTTCAAATTCGAAATATCTAACTAAAAAATAAAGAAATTTCATTCACCTGGTTACAATTCTGAATGGTGATTAATGAATAATGG